GTTTTGGGGGATGGAGGACAAGAGGTGGTGTTGAATCTGTGCTTGGTGCCCCCTCATCTGCTTCTCCTCTGTAGGGCTGAGCTGGCATGCCATCACCTTCCTCCTCTCCCCTTCGTGGCCTCATGCTCCTCTTTCCGCCTTCCTGGTCTTGCAGAAGAGATTTTTCACTTTTGCCTTAGCATAGGGTCTTCTCCTTTGGCTGTCTGTGATATTTCTAGATCCGCCCCCTTGCTTCATTCCTCTTATCATGGGGTTATAGTATCTCTCCATGCCTCGTAATTTTCATTTGGATGCCAGGCATTGTGAGTTTCACATAGCTTTTGTGGGGTAGGTAATTCTTTCAGTAATCTCGGGCTTTAACAGGCAGGGCATGGTGGTGCATGCCTGTAGTCCTAGCATTCTGGAGGCTGGGGCAGGAGGACACCATGAGTTTGAGGCCAGTCTGGGCTGCAAAGTGAGTTCAAAGCCAGCCTGAACTACACAGTGAGATCCTGTCTCAAAAATAATAATAATTTTGGGCTTTATTCTGGGCAGAGTTAAGTGTCTTGGAAACAGGTTGATTCTGCTGAGGCTTGCTTGTAATTAAGCTTTGTTACCTGGATTGGAAATCACTTGTAGTGTGGGACAGATGTGCTGTCACTATTGAACAAGACCCTTCTGGCAGCTGCTCAGTGAATCATGAGGAAGGGTCTTTTGCGTGTGGGGTGGTAGGAACACCTTGGTATTTGTTAATTAGTTCCCAGCAGTGTGATGAATAGCAAAGTTTCAGTTACAGTGGGAAGCCCATCTTGAGGCAGGCAAATGATGAAACCAGGACAGAATTTTCCCATCTGAATGTGTTGAGTACCAGGTTGGGTGAGTTTCGAAGCAGTCATGTACCAAGGTTTGACAAGCTTTCCCACCTCCCGGCTGGATCTCTGGGTGTGGATCTCTGGGCGTGGTTCTGCCTTCCTCTTTCTGGTGGTTCTTTCCCTGACTGTGGTGGTTTCTTTGCTTGCATGCACAGCCAGCACTCTGCTGAAGAGCTGTCTGCAAATCTCCCGAGCATGGCTCCATGATGGAGCATCAGGCTCTCCACCTTGGCCCTCACAGTGCTGAGTTCTGTGCCCTTTGGAAGCCCTGGGTCTGCTTGAACTCCCCTCACTTCTCTCCCCAGACCTGCATGGGTGCTGGCATGGCTCACCCCGTTGTATCCTCTCCGCAGCAGGCACTGGCCGATCCTGCCCGTGGTCAGGGAGTAATACCATTTCAATGTCGTAGCCATCTAAGGAGTACAGGGCACATTCAGTTCTGGATTCTGTATTGGCTGGATGCATAGAGTGCACCCAGAATTGTGTCTTTAACCATGATTCCAGGTGTAGACTAGCTTTGGAACACTTTTCTATGGGGTACAGTCTCAGCCTTAAGAGTTAGAAAGTTTATTCGCATTGTGAAAAGCCTGACTTTGCAGATGAGGAATCTGGCAGAGAGTGAGGTTCCCTCAGAAGTGCTGAGCTCCTGGTAGATAATGGTCCCTTGACCTCAGGCCCAGCAGGTGAGGAAGAGTCACTCCGAGGGTCCTGTTAGATGCAGCCTGGGGGCTTCTCCGAGTCGACTAGGACACAAGCACAGGTAGTAAGGTGGTCGCTGGACTAGCTCAAGGAGGACAGGTCCATCTCTGCTGCATGCAGAAGGAGTGCAGTGTGTCCTTTGGCCTCTGTGCTGCTGGCTCTGCCACGAGGGTCACCTGTGTGGCTGGGCTGTGGTTCTCCTGGAGCGGTTGCAGAGGGTTGGGGAACTAAGAGAGAAGACGAAAGCTGTGAGCAGGAGCTGGGTTTGGTTTGGCTGCAGGGGCTCGGGTGCCAGGGGGAAGGGCCAGCTGAGGGTGACCCCAGTTTTAGAGGAGCAATTGTAGCTCAAGAGATGGGGGGCCTTGTCTCCATGGCAACTGCACAGGACCCCAGATGCCCCTCCCAGTTCAGAACTGTGCGTGCTGCCATGCCACACTGCCCTTTTACTATTTTGTGTGCTGATCTTTTGATTTGGGTCACTTGGTTCTTGAAGATCGAGGGATTCCCTTTGCCTTCCGGAGGGCCTCTGCCTGCGGGTGGCTCTGGTGGTCAGGATGTGCAGAGACACTTTGGGATGGGAGAGGCCAGTGACCAGAGGAAATATTCAGGGGACAAAACCAGGAATCTCCTGCTTTGCAGGCCCATGAGTCACAGTTGGCCAGAGGTCTCAGGGCCCTGAATCAAAATGCATTTTATTGCATTTGGAAATCTTTTGCTTGTTTTCTGAGTTCTATTCATGTGCTGCAGTGCAGTGACTGCACTTGTGTCTGCCAGGGTGATCGTGGCGCCCCCCTCCCCAGCCTGTGGGTGCTGGAGATCACACACTGGGCACCAGGTGCTGCTCTCTGACAGGTAGCAGCCTGGCGCCAGGCCCATGGGCATGGCAGCTGTTAAGCCTTTGCTGGAGGGGAGGTTTGTGAAGGCTGAGTGGAGTAGGCAGAGGTGGAGAGTGCAGATGTGAGGAAGAATAGATGGAGGGAGAGGGTGGAGTGGGGTAGGGAGGGGAGTGAGTGGAGCTCATGGGGGAGATGAGGGCGGGGTGTGTGCAGGGGGTGGGGGAGGTGAGGGCTAGGAATGGAAGGGACACAGAAGTGCAGGTTGAGGCAGGAGATGAGGAAGGGAGGGTTGTAGTCACAGTGGAGGTGACGGAGGTGATGCTGGCTTGGGAGGAGGTAGAGATGATGGAGGAGGAAGTAGTGGTGCAGGGTAGGTAAAGTGCAAGTGACGAGTCAGTGGAGGTGGAGATGATGGAGGAGGCGATGGTGGAGGTGAGGGGGTGGATAGCAAGGGATGAGATGGTGGAGGCACTGGAGGAGAGGCTGGGGTAGGTGGCAGCAGAGGTCAGGGGAGACGGAGGTAACAGGGAGTGGGGCAGGGGCCGCTGGAGCATGCTCAGCAGCCAGTGCGTTCGCAGCTCCGCGTTCCTCCTGCACCCCGCCCAGGTCTCCTGGAGCCCAAGCCCACGAAGGTCATGCTGCCCACCTGCAGCACGAAGCTGCGGCCCTCACCTTTGCGCCAGGCCGCTCTGTCTCCCTGGAATGGGAAACCGGAGAAACCCGGCCACACACCGACTGGGTGGAGGCGGCTTATTTTGGGAAAACTATTTGTCAAGATTGACAGGCCCGGGCGGGCGAGGCTGCTCTGTGGGTGATGGAAGTGCTCTAAAATTAGACCCTGGCGAATGCAGGCAGGCTCTGTGGCTGTCCCCGCACTCACCGGTTGCACATTTCCCTCAGGTGACAGGTGTGTGACGGGACCGCTCAGGCAGGCTGTAGTGCGGGATCCCCTTCTCCCGAATAACGGACGCGGTCCCCTGCTCCACCAGCCCAGGGGTGCTGCTGTGTGCAGTTCAGGACAGCGGCCCCTGGAGGCTGTGCGTAGCCTCAGAGCACTGAGCCTGGGTACAAGAAAAGTAGGGAAAACTGGGAGGTTTCATGCGGTAGGATTTTCACTTTTGAACTAGTCCTCTTCGGGGTTCAGGAGAAAAGTTCTTTGCCTTGTGATCACAGAGGCTCCAGGTTTTCTGTGTTTGGCTCACAACACGAATGAACATAACCACAAGTAATAAGTGCAGTAAAGCGGGCGCCGTTGCTTGGGACAGAAAGTAACCCATGGCAGATCCCACTGCCTCCCTCCCAGGGCTGTCTGAAATTCTGAAGGAGCCAGCTGCCCTGCAGGACAAAACTGACCATACAGAGCCACGGACGCTGTGTCCCCACCCCCCAGCAGTCGAGAGCCTGCTCTCTGGTCTCCTGGGGATCCACACCCAGGGATTAGATTGGTGACACCATGGGCTGGGTGCCCTTGTGCTTTGCCCCAGCTGCACTCAGGGTGAAGGCAAGATGCATCCCGGGACAGGTTGGAAGAGGAAAGAAATGGACTTCGGGCATCAGTGTCCCAGAGCAAACTTCACCATTGTCCTATGAATGTTTCTGCCCAGTGAATCACTGCACACAGCTGCAGGGTGGGGAAGGCATAGGTCTCTCCTGCACCACCCCTGGTGTGCTACACTGACCCCAGAGCGGGTACCAATTGGGTGGGAGGGCCCTGAAGGCAGAGACCTAGGACCAAGCAGTCTCCTCACTTACTTGGCCCCGGGTTTCCTGTTCAATGCATGGCAGCCGAGAAGCAGGCAGAGTCGGGACGAGTGGGATGGTCTCCCATGCAGGGGCCACTGCGGCCTAGTCCTCCTGCGCAGCCCACCCTGCGCTGGCTGTGGGGTCCTGCGTGACAGATTGCCCTTGCTCTGGCCATGTTGGTCATCGATGCATTGGGGGCCATCTTGGAACCCAGGTCTTGGTGGGGGGTCGCTTCCTGCAGACACCGAAACCATCACAACATGCACTCATGCGCGTGGTGTGAAGGTTGGGTCTCCCTGAAGAGCTGGTTCCCTGGGTCTTCTTGGTGACCAGAGCCACATGCACCCTCTGAGCCGCCAGGTCTACTTCAGCGAGTGTGTGTAGGACCATGGGGCCATGGGAAGGGCTGGCATTAAGTGGTGATCGAGGCCTGTGACTCAGACTGGGGTATTCAGGGACCCTTTCACCTTTCCCGGGAGGGCCAGACCTACAAGTGAGGGTTCTGATCCAAACTCCACCTTCAAAGAAGGACCCATCTGCCCTTGCCAGCACCCGACTCCTGCATGCAAGGCTTTGATGGCACTAACCACAGGGCTGCCCTGCCCTCCCCGGAAGCCAACCAGGGCTAGAGTGAGTGACCGTCATGGGGAGCCAGGCCAATGCAGAGAGGGCCTATTAGTCTTGTCTGGGAATTGATCCTCTACCTCGTGGCAGGCGCCTCTTTGCTTCTGAATGGTGGAAGATGTTTGTCCCAGGCCCTCCATGCTTCAGGAATTCTTTCTGGTATTTTCCCCATAGTGCTTGGTGTTGAACACAGAGTCTTTACACATAGCTACAACCCCGTCTTTGTTTGCTTTTTATTTTGAGACAGGGTCTCGCTGAGTCACTGCGTTGCCCAGCCTGAGCTCCAGCTTGCTACCCTCCTGTCTCAGCCTCTCAGAGTGCTGAGATTACCACCTATGCTACCGCGTCCACCTAAGAATTACGCTTTAATGCCACGATCACTGGTGAGTTTTCTCTAATGTCTTTTATGTTTTGGCTTTATTTTCCCAATATCATCATATTTCAGATTACAGGTTGAGGATCCCTAATCCCAAAATTCAAGAATCTCAAATGCTTCAAAATTTGGTACATTTCGAGCCCCAGTATACAGCCACAAGTGAAAAATTTCACACCGTGAAACTTTGTTTCAGGCACAAAATTATTAAGAATTTTGACTTCAAGCTATGCGGATAAAGTATGTGTGAGACCTAACTAAATTTCATGTTTAGATCTGGGGCTCGTGCCTAAGATACCTCACTGTGTCTCTGCACATATTCCAAAATCCGAAGAAAAAATAAAAAAAAAAAACAAAGATGAAGCACTTGGGGTCCCAAGCATTTTGGGTACAGGATGCTGAACCTGTTACAATTAAATCTTTCTTGGCTTCTCAGGGGTATAGAATTCTTATCCTAAACTTCTGTCTACCAAGTTTTAAGAAGTACACTTCCATTATTGATCTATGGAACTCTGCGTGCTTGTATGTGTGTGCATGTGTGCGTGTGTGCGTGTGCATGGGTGGGTGTGTGATTATGGGGCTTGAACCTAGAGCCTTCACACTGAGCTACATCCCCAGCCCAGCTCATGCTAAATTGCTTAGGCTGAGCTTTGACTCCACCTGCCTCAGCTACCCTGCATGCTGGGACTCCAGCCACCACACCCAGCTCACTCCTGCAGCTGGCAAGAAGCACCTTTCCTGGAAGGCAGTGGGACCAAGCCGCCACCTCACCTCTGTTCAGGTAGAAGAGTGTGTGAGGTGAGGAGGACCCTGACCCCATGTGGCCAGAGTCCTGCAGAAAGCGCAGGCAACCTTTGGCCTCGCCTTGGGACTTCTAGGGACTGGCAGCAAATAATCAGAAATGTGGGAAAGATTTATGCCCAGAGGCATTTGTTTGATCGTTATTTATGTGATGTGGATGTCGCAAACTGCCAGAAAGCGCCTAGGATGGTAGGTTTAGTATGAAAAGATATTTACCAAGGCTTAAAAATCACTTCTTAGGTTCATTGCAAAGGGTGAGGGCAGCTGGGAGCAAAACACAAGACAGTTTACACAATCCGATTCCCACAGTGTATCCCTGTGTCTGAAAAATGGGCAAAGATCACACGCATACAGCCCTCTGTCAGCAGATTTGGAGCAGCTGATCTTATTCCACTCTATACTTCCAATGTCGTTTTATAATTATATTTCTTATATTGTTTATAATTAAGAGGCAAAGAGTGAGGTACTGAAGAGCAGATTGGGTGGTGACATTTGCCGTGGAGTTGCAGGGAGTTGCTGGGGTGGCTGCAGACAGGGAGACCCTGGTGAACTGGGGAGTCTAGGAGCTTACTCCTTCCTAGCTGGATCTTTGCTCAGCACCCCTGCGCAGGTTCTTGGTGGTGTCCCCTGCCTCCTGGACAGTGGTCCCCCAACAGTGGCTTCTGCCTGCCTCATGGGAAGCCACCTGTGCTGTCAGGTTTCCATTAGCGTCACAGATGTTCATGGTGATGACTTGAAAGGAGCTTATTGTGGCTCACGGTTACAGAGGTTCCAGTCCATGGTCCCTTGGCCTGTGTGCTCTGCACCTACGGTGCCACTGCGCATCATAGTAGATGGGCTGGTTCACCTTGAGGCAGCCATGAAGCAAGAGAGGTAAGGGACTGGGGTTGCCACGCCCCCTTCACAGGCCACTGGATCGCCTTGCTTCCTCCACCAGGTCCTTGCAGTGCTGTGGACTGTGCCCCAGCCCTGGTGACCCTTGGGGTCGCCAGACCTAGACCATAGCCTTGAGAGCCTTAACCATCTCCACGTGCACTCAAGAGCTCTGCAAGAGCATGAAAGTGCTTAGCCAGCGGAGGTTTCACTGTTGAGCTAGAAAGTTTCAAAGACTGCTGTGAAAACCTAGCAATGTATGAAGTAGGAGTCGTGTATGGCCTACGATTGGGATTCCTATTTAAAAGCCAGGATCATCGGAGCCCACTGTGTGATTTAAATGCAGCCTGCAAGGTCCCCAAATACCACACACATTTCAGACATGTGCACATGATAATTCATTGTTCTTTGCTTTTTCTGAAAAGACATTTGGGAAACCAGTTATGTAATCCCCTCGGTGTGACATCAGAGGGAAATTTGAGCTGTTACTTCATTTTTTCTTCAACATCTTCAGATTTTAATACCAGGAAGACCGCCATTATGATTACTAAATAAAAAGAAAGCCATTTCTTTGGTAGTGCGGATAAAAAGTCAGAGAGAGAGGAGTGCCAGGGAAAAATTCCCTCCCATCCCTTGGGGTTTTCTTTGCCGTTTTCTCTAGATTCTCTTGAGGACCGTGTGAATGTGACTTTGCCCCTGCTCAAGTGTAGGTGAGAGTGAGCTAGCCCTGAAAGGATCCCCCCCTACCCTGGGGCCCTCTCCTGTGCCTCTGCATGCAGCCCCTGTCTCAGGGCCGGCAGACAGCACGTGCCTATTTCACCTGAGCCAGAAGGCTCCGGGTACAACAGCCCCTGCTGGTAAACATCTAGGCCACAGAGCATCCATCATAGCCTATGTCCTACTGCAGTGACACCTTGGAGAAACCACTGTGCTTTCTGGAATTTCTTAGCTTTCTCACTGCCGAGACACAGTACTCAGCCCCACAGCTTAAAGGAGCAGAGGTTTAATTCGGCTTATAGTTTTAGGGGATTCAGTCCATGGACAGCTGGCTCCAAGGCTGGACTATTGTGGTGGAAGGGCACAGGGGACCAGAGCTGCATAGTTCATGGTATCTGGGAAGCAGATAGAGAGACAGCACCAGAGATTAAGGGGCGGGGAGCAATCCCCAAGGTCAAGTGACCCTCCTGAGACATCTGAAGGTCCTAACCCCGAGGTGGCTCCCCTTTAGCCGGAGAGGGAAGGACTCAGCTGTGCTGCCAGACTGCCAGCACCGTGGGACCCTAGACAGCCCCAACCCTTGGCTGTGGTGGGTGTGGAGACAGCTAGCCTTCTTCCTGTGCCCCACGGTCTCCCTCTGGGAAACGGGAGCCCAGCTTGACTGAGCTGTGGGGCTGCAGCCAGCACACAGGATGTGTAAGATACTGCAGCTTCCGGATCTGAGACAGGTGGGCGGGCTGGGGTGCTCCTGTCCACTGTGGCCAGTCCTAGTTTCTGCTGCTTCATTCTCATGACATTGTGACCTACAGTCGTGAGAGAGGGCTTCACATTCAGGAGGAACTGTGCTGAGTCTGGATCTCTCCCCAGGCTGATGCTGGGCTGTTAAGCTCTCCCATGACCCTGGGCAGTGGGATGAGCCACAGCTCCCTGTGGGCCCCTGCTGGGGGAAAGGGGAGCCACCAGGTTGTTGTGGCCGGTGCTGTTCTGCAGGGTGATGGTCGGTAGGTTAGGGAAAATGGTTGTATTCTCTGCACCATTTTGTGTGTGTGACAGGTTAGCGGGGTTGAACCCTAAGCTGAAGGGTCTTTGCCCTGTGCTGCTGACGATGGAGAGACGGGTGGATACGGATATAATTCTAGGTGGTAGGTTTTAGAGCACATCTCATCCTTCTGGCTCAGATCCAGGGCTTTCTAGTCACATATGTGTTATAAATACTTCACAGAAAGATTTCTTTCATCTGTACGAGGGAAGGAATTGGCATCCTCCCACCTCACGTGAATCACCGGAATTTTTCATAAGCATATACACATGAAAAGCCATCTTTTCCACACATTTGAATGGTTTTGCTGGATTGAATAGTGGCTGGATTGTGTTTCTTGGCGAAAGTTTTTCTAGAATATCGGGTCTCAATATTGCTGTCACCTGAAATTTTCCTCTTCTTTCTGGTGTCTGGGAAATGGCACTGAGCCCCTTCCTGATGCAGAGGGGACCCTTCATAAAGCTGTCTCTGTCTCAAGTAGCAGAAAGCGGTGGGCTTCCAGAAGAGAAGCCCACGGTGGTTAAGTGTCTGTGTCTGACTTACTTCACCTGGGGTATGGTCTCAAGAGCCAGCGCGCTGTTGTCCTTGTGGGTGCCTTCACGGTGATGCATGCACATCTGCCCTTGGGACAACACAACGCATGGTAGCTAAGTCCCGGAAGCAGGCTCTATGCCCACCAACAAATGGATAGAGAAAACGTGTTTACATACTTGGAGCACTACTCTGCCATAAAGAAGGATAAACCTGAATTTGACCCCTCAGCTTAGGGTTCAACCCTGCTAACCTGTCACACACGCAAAATGGTGCAGGGAATGAAATAAGTCAGACACATGGGCTTAATTCCACATGACTTCTCTTATAGGAAAAGCCCAAAGTATTAACCAACGAGCAAAATAAAAGTTAGCTAATAGCAAGGAGGAAGAAGTTTTTCACAGGGGAGGGAAAGGAGATGGGAAAAAATCATTGAAGGAAAACTTGGAAATAAAACTTTTGCAAATGGGAAGAGGACCAAGAGTTGGAAGGAACAAGAGAAATGGAAGGGACAGGGGATGAGAAAAGAATTAGGGTGCATCATGCACAAACTCCCCCTGATAAACCGCGTCATTACGTACTACAGGCATAGACTCCTAAAAGAATAAAAAAATCAGAAAATAAAAATGAAGAGCAAATAAGGAGAAATGGAAGGGAGCAGAGGGGTAGGCATCTGAGAGACACGAAGTGGACTGGAGGGCAAAGGAGAGCTGAAGTGGCCGAGAGGCGCGTGTGTGGTCGGCAGTGCTCAGAAGGAAGCCTGGTCAGGTCTGTGGGCTACACGGAAAGTGACTGGTTCCACTGTCCGCCCGAGCCGACCCTGGGCCTCCATTCCTTCTTGGTCCCTGTTCTCAGAGAGCAACTTAAGCCAAAAAGACAACAGTAACTCTCCTTCCAGCTCCTATGCACCTTTTCAGAATAGGTTTCCCTTTTGGTATAATTCAAACCGTCACTCAGTGTCATTGACAGCCAGAGAGGTAAATGGGAAGAAAGTGGAGGAGGGAGGAAGAAAGGAATGGGTCGAGGATGAGGAGGAGGCAGAAAGTGCCGTGCTGGGAAGTATGACAGCCCCCTGACCCTGTGTTCCTCCTCTAGGACAAAGTGGAGCCTGCAGCCCAGAGCCCCGGAGACCAGGCTCCGCCTCCGGTGCCAGAGAAGTCCTCGCGCCATGCCAAACAGCCAGGTAAGGGGCTACAGGAAGTGCAGGGTGCCCGGCTGGGCTGCACAGCCCCTGGTGTGCGAGCAGGGGCTGGGTTGAGGGTCTCGCTGCACAGTGGGAGCCCTCACTCAGATCCTGACAGCTTGCTGGAAGCCGTGCTGTACCCTGCACTCAGGGAGGGAGGACGAGAATGCTGCGTTGCACGTTTGGTACAGGTGCGGATTCTCTCCAGGTGTAGCCCGGGGTAGGGAGGGGAGCTGTGCGTTCCAGAAGGTTGATCCGGACACTCACAGAGTCAGACTCAGATGCTGAGTCTGCCTCTCTCCAAATGTAGATTTGAAAACAAGATGTCTTTCTTTCCTTTCTGGGAACACATTTCTGTGAGTAGTGCTTCAAAGCCTGTTTGTGGGAATTGCCTAGAATTCACATGGCCCGGGCTGGGTGTGGTGCCTCTACAGAAGTCCCCACACTCTGCAAGGCTGAGGCAGGAGGATCCTGAGATTCAGCTGCAACTTAGTGACTTAATGAGAGGCTTTCTCAAAAAACAAAAAGGGGCTGGGAATGTGGCTCAGTGAGAAATCACAGGGTGCAGCCCCACTACAGCCAAAAGATTAAAAAAAAGGGAAGAAGAGCGGATAGTAATGTGCAGAGAATGTTATACCCAATGCACCTTGAACATACAGGTGCACGGAGACCGACTTCTTGGCTGTGAGGGGCTGTGTGTGTAGAGGAGGGAGTTACTCCGTGGTTCAATCCACAAAAGGCTGCAATGACAAGTAAAATGGGAAAAATAACTTGAGATCACATTAGCAGAAAGTCTGCTTAATTACAGACCTTTAACGTGCTAGGTACAATTAAAATATTGACTAGTTGCTAAGAATATCCATGTCATCATGTGTCAAATGGAGTGGAAAATAAATACAAGAAGATCCATATTTTAAAAAACAAACATTATCAAGTAGAGAAGGAAGAAGAAATAAAATGTGAAAGGAGAAAATGCCCAGAGGAGACCGCGGAGGAAGCTAGCGGAAAGGCAGATCTCTAAGCCTCGAAGAAACGGGAAGGGGAGCAGTACAGATGGAGGACGTCCGGGCTTGCGGGAGACAGGAATTACACCCTTGAAAACAGGAAATTGCTGAACCGGAAAGATCGGGAAACAATGACAAAGTCAAGATGGTCTTTGGCGAAGCCTTGGGACCTCCAGTCTTCCAGGCCAGGTGACACGAGGGAGGAGGTAGCAGGAGCCGCTAGGGAGATTTCAAAACAGCAAAAACCTGTGAGCAGTACGCATGGAAACCAAAAAAGGAGGTCGTTTGCTGCAAAAAAATGTGCAAGTGAAAGAAAATGGAGGAAACGGGTCTTTGTTTTGTTTTGTTTTATTGTTTGCGGTAGTACTAGGAGTTGAACCCTGGGCTTGCTGTCCGTGGGAAACAAGCTCCAGCCCCAGATGCCAGGAATCAAAAATCTCGAACAGATGACTCTGAAAGAGAGGGAGTGAGTCTGTGCCACCCTCAGGAACGCCCAGGAACTTTCAGTTGTGAAAGTTTCAGGGCACAAACAGTGTCAGGGCACAAAGGAGAGGGCCAGGGACCAGAGCTCCGCGGACAGAGCTTTGTGGCCGCTGTGCTGGGCTCATTTCACCTGCTAACAAAGTCAGGGAAGCCCAGGTCCAGCCCTTGAGAGTGAGTTTTGTGGAAGAGAAAGAGGCACTTTCTCTTAAATAAGCAGAAGACAAATGTCACGACCAAGCTGAGTTTGTCAGAGTCACACCAGGATGGTCTGCGAGACCATCCTGTTTTATTTCCATCTTCCGCAGTGCTGGGAATTTAACCCAGGGCCTTTGCACTGAGCTGCAGACACAGAGCTGCTGCTGCTTCCTCCTCCTCTTCTCTTCCTTTATCCTCCTTCTTCCTTCTTCCTCATCCTTTTTCCTTCTGCCTTCTTCTTCTTTTTTCTTTTTCCTTTTTGAGATAGGTCCTCAATCACTAAGTTGCCCAGGCTGGGTTTAAATTTGTGCTCTTTTTGCCTCAGCGTCCAGGAGTTCATAGGGATTATAGACATGTACCATCATGCTTGCCTAAAAACACATTTAGCATGCTCAGAGATTTAAGGAAAAATAAGTGATTAATTCACTAGATACACATAGAATATGTATTGGATTTTCCCACTCATGGTAGTACAGGACAGATAACAACAAGGCCAGTTCTAAAAGGGAGCCTTCCTGTTTTTGTTTTTCGTTCTGGGAATCGAACTCAGAACCTTGTGCTTGCCAGGCAAGTGCTTGTGCCGCTGAGCTACATCCCCAGCCAAAAAGAGCCCTCTGCATCTACAGAAATTCACTTTTCAAAGCCCTAAGCACACATTATAAGCAGAGAAATACTAGAGTCATACCCTAGAAAATGTAGAATTAGACATGGATGCCTGGTATCCCGAGAGATCTTAGTCTGTGAGATGTGAAAAGCAAGTAAAGAAACAGAAACAGGGAAGATGTGAAATCTGTACCTATTTTCAAATAATATTATTTTTCCAAAAGTTAGTCCATAGAGACAAAGCTTTGTAACTGGGTAAATACTCTCAAGATAGCAGCTACAGTGTGAGAACAGCATGTAAAATTTAATAATACTTCAGACCTAGTAGGAAACTGGAAATGCAATGTAAAAAGCCATCTCATTCATAACAGTGACACAAATTATAAGGTATCTGGGTGTAAATGCAACAAGAGGACCAGACATGACAGCATGCCGCTAAAGAAGTAATACACTGGGCACGGTGGCACACACCTGTCGTCTCAGTACTCTGGGAGGCTGGGGCAGGAGGATCGCAGGTTCAAGCCAGCCTGGGCAACTCAGTGACTGTGTGAGACCCAGTCTCAGAATGAGAGAAAGGCTGCGGGCGTTACTCAGTGAGAAGACCCCGGATTCAACCCCCGGTGCGGTGAAATAAGCCAAGAACTCATCCCTGCAGAAGCAGAGCTGCCTGTGGCCGTGGACAGGAAGCTGAAGGCGAGCAATGACCCCTCCTCACCTGGCACCTTTCTGCTGTACTGATTTCCCAGCGGAGTTCTGGTGTGACTTGCAAGAACTTTTCAGCTTTAACCAGGAAGCACTAAACCGAGGACCAGCCAGGGCAGGTGGGGAAGAGGGAGTTGTGTGGCAGGGCGGCCTGGCCTGCAAGTCAGGTGCTAGGACTCCTGGGGAGGAGGAGGAAAGGGCAGATTTCTCAGGCAGGCTGCGAGTATGGCCCAGGACCAGGACTAGAGAGGACACCCTAGAGGGACACGGGTTGGCAGACAGGAGCCACACAGGGCAGGGGTCCAGGGACCTAGGGCTGCCCAATCGTATGGGGCAGGGGTCCCACTCACTGAGCCCAGTAACCACGTTGGGGCCACTTCAGTGACTAAAGGCAAAAAACCAAAGTGCCTTTGAGAAATAAGAATTGATGACTCGTGAGTGCTTTCCTGCAGCCAGGCTAAGACAGAATTTCCTAAGACCCAGCACAGGTGCGAAGGAAAGATGGTCGGGTTTCGGTGAACTCTGAGTGTACAGTTCCTTACAAGGACATGCAGAGGAAAGTGAACCCATGGCCCGCACACTGAGCCACAGCCTCTGTCTCTTTTCTATTTTATTTCGAGGCAGAATCTTGCTAAGTTGCTAAGTTTTCCTGCTAAGCTCGAACTTGCAATCCTCTTGTCTTAGCTTCCCAGAGTGCTGGGATGACAGGTGTGCACCACTGTGCCCAGCCCTGATGATACTTTATAAAGGCACACTTCAGCCGCAGCAAGGAAGATCATAATGTATGTAACAGGCATGCTATTAGTGTCCTGTCTTAAAAAAAAAAAATCCCACAAGCAGAATAAGTCCGATGGAGAAGCTGCGGGGAGCACACAGGGTCGGTAGGCTGTCCCCTCCCCCTGGATGCCGCCTTCACAGGACCAGCAAGGATGATGACAGAACTGGAGGCTGAGGGAGCCCAGGGTTCCATGGGCTGTTTCGGGGGACAGAGAATAGAGCCCCCTGCACATGCAGCTGGTGGCACAGCTCATCCCCTCCCGGCTCACACTCTGCCCCAGGCGTCCGTCGCGAGTGGACTCGGAGTCTCTGGAGACTGCTGGAGCGTGGCAGGAAGATGTCACCAGGTCCCTGGCCGTGTGGAGCAGGTTTGTGGCAGCCTGCGGGGCTCATGGTCCCTCGCGTTCCTCTCTGCGCGCTGTGCTCTTCTCCTTCTTCCATGCCTCGAGGCACACGCAGTACGCGGGGTCCTTTCTAGCAGGAGGGGACCCCCGCCTGCGTTCACCCCAACTGGGTGTCGTCCTTCTATAATGGCAAAGCATGATCATCTCCGCAAACAGACGGCTTCTGTCTGCTGCGCCTGTGCTGGCATCTGGGTTGCCGTGTGAGGGTGAGGACCCGATGTCCAGCATGGAAGATTAGCCATGACTTTCCTTGACCTGTTACTTCTATCTGCTCAAGAGGATTTATTGCTCTTGTTTTATTACCTCATTCCTAGCATAAGCTGCTTATTTTTGTGTGACAGTTGCTAAAAATGCTTCCCACATTTTTTAGCAGCAGTCCACAGCATGGGAATCGTTTTCCTTTGAAAGCGGGTGGGTGGGTTAGAGCTGTGAGTACTGTGGACAGTTTCTTTGAAGTGTTTCCTCATGGGGGTAAAAATATATACAACAAAATCTGCTGCCGCAAGCACTTTTCAGGGTACAGTTGGGTGGTGGGAGTAGTATTCGTGGCACTGCGCACCCAAGCCCATTGTCTGTTCTGAAAACTCTCTTAGCACCCCAAATAGGACGTCCGCACCCACTGAGCAGTCCTTCCTTCCCCCAGCCCTGGGTGACTTGGGGTGTGCTTCCTGTGCCCAGGAATTTGCTGGCTCCAGGTAACTCAATGGAATGACACAGAGCCGGCACCCACAGCTTGAAGGACAGGCGCTGTATTGTGGCTCACGGTTTCCGTCTGTGTGTGGCTGGCTCCAAGATGGAAGGGCCTGGGGAGAGAGCTCAGGGCAGCTGGGGAGCACAGACAGAAGAGGGGAGCCGGGAGGTCCTGAGATTCCCTCAGTGGTAGGATGGGAACCAAAGCCGAGTGCAGCCTGCCCCAGGATTGAGATTAGTTAGGAGGGCCACAAAGTGAGTGCCTGTGGGTGTAGGCTCTGGAGACAAGTGCTGTTTTGCACACTGTTTTACCATGCCAAGGAGTGGGGATTGTAGGCACTGCCCACCATGCCCAGCAGGATCGTCCATTTCTTGAGGACATTCGCCCAACCTCATTTATCCTGAATGTCTACTTCAGGCTCTTCCGGAGTCATGTATCATGGATACTTGATTCGTGAGTTCCTGAACTCACATGTCATAAATAGACCGGTGCTGTCCAGACAGCTCCCCAGTCCGCCTCTCCCCTGCGCGCGGGATGTGCTGTTATTTCTAGCAAGCAGAGATAAAACCAGCTCCTGCAGCCCTTCCCTTCCTGCTGCGCTGCGCACAGGATGAGGGGTGAGGCCCCGGAGCGGATGTACAAGTTAACTGAGGCCCACATTCCTCCTGCCTCTGGGAGATGAGGTGGCATCCGCACAAATCACTGATGATCTTCCCAGTGTCAAGGTGGGGCCGTCTGTCAGATTTGTCGTGGTTTCTTTTTTCTCGATTTCTGCTGTATTTTTACTAGCCAGTAAATATGTTCATTCTGGGCGTATTGGTAGATAGGTGTATCAGCACGTCTTGATCCTTGTTACTTTCTTTCCCTTTACCCTCCTGTCTTTTCTAGCCCTAAACCTTTTCCATTCCTTTCAGAGACCCAGCTCATTGATTTACTGTTCCCCTGGATGGTTTTTCCTGTCCCATTTCCATTAATGTCTGCTCTTGTCTTCATTTCTTTGCTTTATTTTCAGATTGGGATTGTTCTTGTCCTTCTAGGTCCTTCGGATGTACCATTAGGCTGTTTCTTTGAAGTTGTATTATTTTACCTGCACATTCATATCTGTAATGTTCTCTCTTGGTACTGTTTCTGTGGTGTGCAGTAGGTTTTGGTATGTCATTTGATCTTAGGAACTTTATACATTCACCCCGATTTCCTCTGTGACCCGTTGATTATTCAGCAATGTATTGTTTAATCTCCTTGTGTTTGCATAGTGTCTGTGGCATCTTTTTGCTGTTAATTTCTAGCTATATTCCACTATGATTCTATAGTTTGCAGGGAATTCTTCCAAATGTTTTTATACTTATGTAAGTATGACCTCAGTTACTTTTCCTATTACTGACACAAAATACGCAACACCTGAAGTTAAAGGATGAAAATTTACTTTGGCTCACAGTTTCTAGTAGTTTCAGTCCTCAGTACATTGGCTCCAAGGCAGAATGGCATAGAAGAGAGGCCTCACAGAGGAGAAGAAACAGTTCATGGCATGGAAGGCAGGAGGTAGAACACAGTGTCAGCAGCAGGCAAGGTCAGAGGCCTTCTTTCCCTTCCTTATCTTCCCTCCAGGCTCCACACCCTTGGTAGGGAGCACTCACACCCAAGGGTCTTTCCCATTATCCACACCCAGCACTGTGCCAAACCAATCAGGAGACTAATTTAGGAAGCACACACCTTTAACCCACCATCACACATTCTGCATTCGGTCGCCTATGACTGCATGAGCTTTGAGGGGACATCTAGACACAAGCTATGACAGGACCTGAGATGGTCTATTTTGGAAAAGTCCTGTATGTTGTTGAGGAAAATGTGTGTGCTGTTGTTAGATACATCCTGGCCCTCTACCCATTAGGGACCGTCGTCTTGGGAACTTGCTTTCTCGTGGTTTTACAGTTTTTGCACTGTGGAGTACAGACTCAGTAAAAGTGGAAAAATTATCACTACTGTAGAGATCTCCTTAGTTTGGTTCTGTATCCCTAAATCCTTGGGTTTATGTTTTGGTGTTGATACACCTCTTCAACCTACTCAGTGAATAGCTGAGGTTCTTCTTAGTGTCCAATCTTCTGGTAGGGGCTTGATCCCTATCATCACTCAGAGAGGAGAAAATGGATTGCAATAATGTAGAAGCTGTGAAGATAAGCTAAGAATTGGCATCTAGTAAAAACCAATTAAAGTCAACAACTGTGCCACCATTCACAATAGAAGAGACATCAGCAATAATAATATTGTTGAAGACTACCCGGTTTATTGGCACACCATACAATAAGAGCTACAGTCTACACCAGTCTTAAGAAAAGAAAGAGATGAGCAACAGTAGTATGTGCACAAAGATAAATCAAATAGCAGCATGCAGTGAATCTCTACTAAAACCAACTGTGCCATTATTAACATTAGAAAAGAATCCACAATAGCATGGTCAGCTTACATAGCTACAAATTAATAAAGTATAATAGTAATGCTAAAAGTGGAGAGGTAGAAGTGAAAGAAGTAATATTGGAAAGAGAAAAGGAAGATGAAGAGAGAAAAATGTAAAAAATCCCGCAAAAGAATAAAAGTTAATAGAATTAGGTCAGAGTAAAAAAAAAAAGAAAAGGAAAAACAGAAACAAAGAGCAAGAGATTAGAAAAATGACAAAAATAAAGCAAACCAGAAACTCCCAGAGACAAAAAAAGAAGCGAGTCCAAAATACTCCGCTGTGTTTGGGTGCGTGGTTTCTTTCCAGGGCTGTGGTTGGAATCCACCAGATGGGGTGGGGGCGGTGAGTCACACCGAGGCCTGTTTTGTTTCCCTGCTCACTTTCTGCTGTACGGATGCAGAGTCCTGCCTTACGGTTCCCGCTGGGCGTGGACGTGTTAGGGCTGTGCTCTCTCCGGTGACTCTCAGTGCTCATGCCCCTCTGTGTGCCCTAGGTCACTGCTGTTTGTGTTTACCGGCTGTTGGTTCATGAGGTTTCTGCCTTACTGTGGAGGCCCCTCTGTTCCTACACCCCAGGAAGTGGCAGCTGTCCCAGCGGAGGTGAATCCCTGTTCACAGTGGTAGATGGGAACAGCGGACCACTGAGCTCCATTCTGGGAGTGGCCAACAAGGCCACTGGACTCAATGTCTATGCTTTACTTTTAGGCCCAGATTCCTCCTGGCATCTTTCCACAGAGGTTGGGACTACCGTGTCCCTCATGAACTGAGCTTGCTGCTGTTTTAACTTCTTGGGAGATCTGTCCCCAGCCTCCCTTCCCCTGGGACTGTCCCTCATGGCCCTCTCCCACCCAGTTACTTCACTGTGCATTCTGATTCCCAGAGCACCTGCCCTGAAACACTTAGCTCCTTGCCCAAGAGACCCCTGAGAGCCCCAGTGTGACAGATGCTGCCGTGGAATTCTGCCACTCCAGCCTCTTGTGTGGAAGGGGTCACTGTGGAAAGCCCAATAGTGCATTTGCAGCAGCTTATAATACCACGGGCTTTTGTTGGGGTTAATGCTGTGGATGCAGTGTTTCTCCCCAGGGCACCCACCCTCTCCAGACCCTTTCCTCCTGTTTCTGGGAGCTGGTTCTTTTCCCCAGGAGCTGGGGTTAGTTTTCTGGCCTGCTTTGTTCTTTCTTGTGTTACCTTCAGCTTTTCTGCATAATTTTTCTAGTTCTCTTGTCAGCTTTTTCTTGGTTCCTGGAGTGCTCCTTTTTTCCAGCTAATTGTTTTTAGTGCCTCAAATCCAGCTCTCAGGGTGTATCTTGCGGCTGGTCTCTGCTCCACCATGTTGAATCTTGTCTTCTTTGTTACTTTTCTCCATCTTCTTGTGTGCTTGGGTGAGTCTTCTGTTATAAAGTAGGTTCTTAAACTAGTTAAGATTGTGTGCTCCGTCCTTCTGTCCATCATGACCTTAATTAAGGAGCTAAGCATTATTACCTCCAAATGCATGGGGGAGCCCAGGCCAGAGGAGGGGAGCTGCGTGGCCACACCCACCATGAGTGGCAAAGTTGGGATTCAAACCCAAGCCAGTGGGCTCCGGCTCAGAGCCTCCCGTCCCTCTGCAGCCCTGCCCCTGGATCAGCGGTTCTTCCCTCACATAGACCTGCTGGCTGCCATTCCTTGCTGAGGACTCAGGGGAGCAAACTGAGATCTCCAGGGAAGGACCGAGTTTTCCTGGCCTCAGGATCTGCCGCATGGAAGCCCGGGATATCCCCCGCCCCCCAACTCTGCCTGCGCTCCTCCTTCCTCTCCACCCCATGGTCGTTTGTCTTAATAA